AGAGGCCAAGAAAATGCAGTTATGGAAGGCAGTTTGAATTTTATTCGAAGAGGGATGGGAAGCCTTTAAAGGGTTTGAGCATGGGAACGACGTTATCCGGTTTTACATTTTTAAAAGATCATTCTGGTTGTTATGTGGAGACTGGACTGGTAGAGAGGAGCTCAGAGGATCAGGACAAGAGAAGGGGCAGAATGATGAGATGAGAGACAGTGAAAACAGTTCAGAGAGATGACAGTTGCTTAGACAAAGAGGACAGCAATGAAGGTCATGTTGAATGGCAGGCTGAACAGAACTTGCTGATGGATTGGATATTTACAATGTATGTGTTCATACTCAGTCGCTTCAGTAGTGTTCACTGCTTTGTGACCCCATGGACTGAAGCTCTCCAGGCGCCTCTGTCCATTCTCCAGGTAAGAATACTGAAGTGGGTTGCCATGCCCTCCTCCAGGGGATCTTTCTGACTCAAGAGATTGAACCCACATCTCTTCTGTCTCCAGCATTGGTAAGTAGGTTTTTTTTTTTTTTTTTTTTTTNACCACTAGAGCCACCTGGGAAGCCCTGGATATTTACAAAAAGAAAAAGCAAATGTGACTCGTGTGGTGCCAGTCACTAAATGAAGAACACTAGGGGCAAAGTAAGCTTAGCTTATAGAGTAAAATAAAGAGTTGTTTTGGATGCGTTAGGGCTACGATGCCACATAGAGCATTCAAGTGAAGATGTCCAGTGCACTGTTAAAGCTTTGAGAGTAGCGATCAAGGGAGAAATATAAATCTGATAATCAGAACATTTGCAGATGGCATTTAAATTCAAAGGACTGAATGAGATCATGTAGGGAAAGTATAAATGCAGAAGAAAAATGTGTCAAGACAAACCTCTGAGGCACTCCAGTGCTTATAGCTAAAAAGAAGAAGACCTAGCAGAACTGATCATGAAAAAAAGGGGGAAAAATGGGTGATATCCTAAAGTGAAGAAGGTCACTGAGTAATGAAGGAGTGGTCAAGTCCGTCAAGCTGCTGAGGTCAAGGTATTCACCATGTGACACTGTGGATACATGAAGGCACCTTTAATTCTCAAAAAGAAGTATATGCTATGTTAGCACAAGGGAAGCGAAAGTTGCTCAGTCGTGTCTGACTCTTTGCGACCCCATGGACTATACAGTCCATGGAATTCTCCAGGCCAGAATACTGGAGTGGGGAGCCTTTCCCTTCTCCAGGGGATCTTCCCAACCCAGGGATCAAACCCAGGTCTCCTGCATTGCAGGCAGATTCTCTACCAGCTGAGCCACAAGGGAAGCCCATGCAAACATAAAGTTTTAGCTTAAAAACAACAGTCCACCCACCTCCATTTTAAGGGAAGTATGTGTTGAAGAAAGAACATCTATAAAAACACAGGAGAACATAAACAAGAAAAAAAATCACCCGAAGAAATCTGTTATTAAGGTTTTGAATACTTTCCCTTGAATCTCTCTTTTATATAGAGAAGTGTTGGGTTTTGCTTCTTAGACAGTCTAAATATATGGCACACGTAACTGTATATCCTGCTTCTTTCCCTCTCTCACGTTGCTGCCTGACTCTTTGGGTCCCCATGGACTGTGGCCCGCCAGGTTCCTCTGTCCATGGAATTCTCCAGGCAAGGATACTGAATGTGTTGCCATTTCCTTCTCCAGGGGATCTTTCCAACCCAGGGACTGAACCCGAGTCTCCTGCATGACAAGCAGATTCTTTACCACCGAGCCATCTGGGAAGCCCATTTATTGTTGCTTGTAATGAGCCAGGCTCTGTATAAACATACTGCACTGAATCTTCATAACATACCATTAGGCAGTTACTGCTATATTCCAAATTCCTCAGTGAAAAGACTAAGTAATTAGTCCAAGGTAAGTCAAGACTTCATTTTCTGTGCTCGTATAGTGTACCGCCTAGATAACTTGATTTGCTTCATTTTCTGTTGTTAGAAGTTGTCTAATTTCTTAGAATTATAACTGTCACTGTGGTGAGCATCTTTGAACATAAAGCTTTTTATGAATTTTTAATTATTTCCTAAATATTGATTCTGGGAAAAAGAACTACTTGATCACAGAAGTATTTTTTAAGACTTCAGATACATATTGCTTTCTAAAATATTTTTCTCAATATATTTTATCACAAAAGGGTCACTTTAAAAATCTAATTCAATCTAAAATACAACGTGTAGGTGAGATGAGGGGCGTTGGGGGAGTAAGGACTGTGAAAATGCAGTAAGTGGCCACCAGAGGGCAATCATGTGCACCACCACACTGGGAAAAAAGTCTTCAAAATTTGAGACAAAAGGAAAGACTGATTTTCTATTAAACTGGCAGTGTCATATGGAGTATCTATACTCTTTCATGTTAGATTCCACTTTTATTATACTTCCAAACAGAGAAATCATTTATTTCTTATTACTGGCCTTGAGAAATCATAACCATGAAAAGGATTTCTTTTGCCTTAAATTATCTCCTGAGCAAAACCAGGTTGGGATTTATGTGATACTTAAGAGAGCTACCTCACTGCCACGAGGAAAATCAGAAATGAGAACCAGCAGTGTAGACCGCTTCCTGGTACCACAAATGAACTAGGGAGCAATTTAAATCAACTCAACATGATGAGGCGCTTCTGTCACCCAGGACTGAAACTCATCTTTCCTCCATAAGTTTTCCCATTAATTTGTTCATTCATCCAACAAAAAGTTAGTAAATACTTACTATGGACTGATTTCCAAGCTAAATGTGTAAAATGGTGAACAAAACTGGTATGAAACTTTCAGTGTAGTGAACAAACCATATACGATTCAGTCACAAATAAATACATTATCACAAACTGTGATATGTGCTGTGAAAAAACACAAATGTATATCAGAGTGTATAACTGGGAAAATTGTCATTAAGCTTGCAGCATAGACTGCTTTCTAGGGAAAGTAACATTTAACTGAAGGCCTGAAGGAAGGATACAGTTTAGTAAGGCAAAGAGGCCAGGAGTGGGGGTACAGGTGTATTAGAAAGACCATTCCAGGCAGAGGAAAGATTATATGCGAGAACCTTGGGACAGGGGAGCATAACATATTTTAGAAATAGAAGCCAGTGTGACTGGATCACGAACAGGAAAGAAAAAGAACAGCACAAGTTAGAACTGGCAAGTAGGCAGGGACTAGGTCGTATAATTGAAAAAATAACACAATTTCTTTTAAATCAATTTGTTTCTCCATAGACTAGAGGATTAGAATAAAGAATAAGATTTCAACACAGATTTTTTTCCCAGAGTACTTTCTGTTCAAATATTCTGCTACCTTAATTTCATAAAAACACTTGTTACTCATCAGACTAGTATGTTCTGATTTTTGTTGTTGGGGGAAAAAAAGATTTCCAAAGAAGCATCTCTAACCTTTACGTTTAGGAAAACTGACGACCAGAGAAGTTAATTGTCTCTTGTTTTTAACAGCTTAACTAAGCTTGCCCAGACACGGTTTTCTTTGCTCCTATACTGCCTAGGGTTTGCTGAGTTGTTTGAATCTGTGAGTTGGTCTCTTTCATCAATTTGGAAAACTCCTGGCCATAATCTTTTCAGATATTCGCTTCTGCCCCAGTATCTCTCTGCTTTCCTTCTGAGCCTTCAAGTGCACTTATGTGAGACCTCTGGCAGTCTCCCACGTGTCTTTTCTGCTCTGCTCTCTCCTTTGCATTTTTTCTCTCTATGCTGCGGTTTGGATATTTCAAACTGAACTGTATTTGAATCCACTAACCTTGTCTTCACTGTACACAATAGTATATAACCTTGTCTTCACAGTACATACTGTAGACCGCTATTAGGTCCATGCAATGAGGTATTAATTTCAGATGTTGCACTTTTCTAGATTGTTCTTTTGATTTTTTTTTTACTCCAAATCTCTTGAAATTTTGTCTCTTTTCACCTATTTTGTCTGTTTTCTCCTCTACTTTCTTACAATATTAACTTTAGTTATTTTAAATTCATTTCAGGCTAACTCTAACACCTGGGTCATCTGTGGATCTGCCTCCATCACTTTTCTCTTTACTATTGGCCTCAATCTCCTGCCTCAGAATTGTCCGGTTTCAGTTGCCAGACACAGTGTACAAAAGAACCACAGATGAGTCCTCTTTTCCTCTGTTAGGCAGATGTAATGAGAGGACCACCCTAATTCAATCAGAAATTGAGACAGGCTGAGGACGAACGGCAATTTTAGTATGAGTCAGTTCACCTGTGGCTCATCACTGCTTCTTGGTCACAGCCTTCTAAGGCTTTGGATTGAGAACCCAGCAGGTATGTGTCTCCTCAGTCCTGAAAGACTGCAATAGATCCAGAAAATGAGTAATGGATGTGAACCTAAATCCCATGCAATCCACCTTTTGAATCTGGCAATGTCTTCAGAGAGATGGTCATATGTTGTAGCAGGCCCTTTCTTTCTAAAAAGATTTTGTCTCCTAAGCACCAGAAGATTGAGGAATTTCTTTCTACCTTTTGAGCCACCCTTCCATATCCTGCACAGTCATTAACGTCCTGTGGGAAAACTGGCCTTGTATTTAGGGCTCCTCTAGTTTCTAATTCATAATGGAAGCCCCAAATGACGGCCAAAAGTTCTTCTTGTATCTTTCCTCAAGAAGAATCCTTTTACTTGGACCAAGCCAGCTCCTTAATCTGTGCCCAGAATCAGCAAATGTCCCTTGAAAGGAAAATGGCTGGTGAACATCAGCTTACTTAGGAAGAGTATTCTACCCTTTCTGGAATTTTAGTTCATATAGTTTTCATTGCATCCATGGATCACCAACCAATATGATTTTTGAAATTTATATATATATGTGTATATATATATATAGTTGTTGTAGAAGGAGTTTGGCTTGCTATGACCTATTACATCCTACTTAGAAGAGAAAGATCCTTATAAACTCTTTGGGAAGAATTAACTCAGAGAAGGACTTCAAAATGAAAAGAACAATGGACTATGTACATAAAAAAGTGAGGAAAGTGTACCTGTGAGGGCATCACAAGTGGCAGACCGATTATTGCACTGGCAGGGCAAGCAGCCATTCTTACTAAAGTCGTAATATCCATCGTGGCATCTATCACATGAAGAACCGGTGACACCCACTTTGCACTGACATTTCCCAGAGCTGCAAATAAAAGCAAAGACAATGAACAAAATAAATCAGTTTGAAGGTTTTGTTGCCTAACATCTCATCATAGATGATCTTAATGCAGAAATAGTGTCAGCTGGATTCTAGTTACGATACATACTGAGTGACTTTTATTTTGAATTATAAGTTGGGCAGCTTCATGGCTATGTTAATTCACTTAGCATGGTAATAACACCCATCATTTCTGACCCTGTCATCCCCTGCATTTGGGTGGCTTCGGATAAACGGTAAAGGAGCTGCGGAGAGTCCCGCGCCTGGCCCTTCAGCGCCTCTGGCTACTAGAGCACTGGGGCACAGGACTCACTCTGCTACCGCATCTCATTCCCAAACCATCCACAGCGGCCCCAGCATCCAAACTGCCCGATCTGGAGAAGAAAAACCACCCAGGGCTCACTCAGCCTAGCTTTTGGTTGAAAAATATAAAAATAAGGACTTTAATGAATGTGCTAGAAACTCAATATGATTTTCTACTTTAGGCCAATGCTGTATTAACACAATTCTGGCAATTAACCGGAATTCACAACTAAGTGAATATGACTGTAATGAGGACCTCTATTCATTTCGGAATTAAACCCAAATAAACATGCTTGATTGTCAACTCCAAAAAAACGACTAAAAATCTAAAGTAAGAAAAATATTTTATTTAGTGTCCCATTTCTTCTTATTAACCTGTTTTCTTTTCTTAGATGTCCATTACATCAGTGATATCATCTCTCTCCAATCAGTGAAACTTAAACCTTTGTTTTAATTTTCAACTCTTCTCTCTCAACTCCATGCTCTTCCAATCACTCATTCAAATTCAACATCCCACCAGTTTTGGTCAGATTTTCTTCTAAATATCTCTTGTTATTTATTGTACAGTCATCTCTCTTAGAATATGTTTCCTCTTCTTCAACTCTTAAAAGTTCTCCCACTTTCAGGTTCATCTTTTCCCATGACTTCTCCCTGACTGGTCAACAGAGATCTTCTGGCCTCCTGACAGAACATTCTCTATACTGTACATTTTATTCCTAATTATGGATTTTTCTACATTCTTTCATATACATAACTCTCGTTAGATTGTTAAAGGCCTAAAGCAAAGGCTGTATCATGCAGCTTTTTTTCAAGTTATCTTCAAGATGTTGAGTCGAACCCAACTGAGCAACTAAACACTGTCAAGACAAGCTTGAGCAGAGGAATAGTGCACTATAGCTGTCTTCATTTCACACATCTTACTTGGTAAGTCTGCAATGTTCAGAGACCCAATCCTAGCCATCTTGCTATCTTCAGAGTCTAGTATAGTACCTTGCTTGTTGTAGACAATTAATATATGCTTGATAAATAAATGCTCAATACAGAAACTGAGTTTTAGAGTTAAGCACTGGAAGGGAAAAAGAAAGATGAAAGCCTGCACTGATTACTAGGACTCTCAAAACAGCTAAAGTACCTTTCCCTTTTTTCCAACAGTGTGACTCTTCTTTACATGCTCATTCTGGACATCAAGTTTTTAGAATTCATATCAGTAGAGTTCTGGCACCAGTCATATTGGATGGGAGTCAATATAATGTAGAACTGCATCTCAATATAATTATTTTAGAGACTCAGCTCCTAATAATGAGCCCCTATGGGGATGTTCATTCTACTTCAGGAGCCCAAGCTAAAATTGTTAATACTTACACAGCTCTTACACATGTCAGTTAAAGTAATCCCCTACTGCTTCCCATACTCCTATTTTTGTAATAAAAATAGAAGTCCTAAATTTGAACATTATTGGAACTTTGGGTCGAAATTTGCAGAATGGGACTAAACTTTTAGCTGTGTGGATTCTACTTGTAGTATACAAACCTGAGATTTTTTTTTTTTTAATTGAGACATGCCTCTCTGTTTATCAGCATGCCCTGGGCTAAATAACGAGGCTTTTGCCTTCTGTCCTAAAAAAACTATTTTGAGCAGTTATAGGTGAAATTCACTTCTCTCTCCCACTTAATCCATGGTTCTTTGCAATATCCCAGGGTATGCCAAAAAGGAGTAGAAAAATAGTTCTACATGGTATATTTTTAGGGCTTTACTCAAAGCCAGTCAAGAAAGGAAAGAAAGCCATGCTTATGTAAATAATAAATACTTAACATATCTTAAAGCCTTATAACCTGAGAAGTTACCTATCAAACTCTGTATTTCTATCTTAAAGCTGCCTATATATTGGGTTATGCAATTTCTTGACTAACAATTTTACAGAAAATGTAAAATGGAAACATCTGAAAGAAGTGGTAATGATGATAAAAATAGTAAGTAATCATTTATTTAGGGCCTATGTCAATAAATACATATTCTTTCTAATCTTCAAAGTAACTCTACAAGGTAGTGGTCATAACTCTCATTTTACTACTGAGGGAATTCAAAGGGTTAAAGTTACTGTCCACACCTAATAAAGGCAGGTTTATTTATACAAACCCAGACTTTCCCACTATGCTACCTACCCTCTCCTCAGTTTAACTCTAAATTTGTACAATAAATTTGCCTGCCAAATAATCTGATACCCACTTGGGTATCAAGCTTCATTCTGTAGATTCCAAGCATCACAATTCACCATTTATTTAGGTTCTGACCCCAGTGAGCTGTTTCTGCCTTGCCCAGAATAAACCCAGTCTCTCTTCTCATTGCCAGTAAGTTTCAGATCTCCCTTAACAAATCTGAGAGTTTTTTCTGCTTGAAGACACTGCAGCCTAGCAAAGTCCCAAGGTTCTCAGAGACACAGCCCAGATTTTGATGTAACTGTTGTTATTCAGTCGCTCAGTCGTATCCGACTCTTTGTGACCCCATGAACTATAGCACGTCATTCCCCATTCTTCACTATCTCCCGGAATTTGCTCAAACCCATGTCCATTGCGTCAGTGATACCATCAACCATCTCATTCCGTCACCCCCTTATCCTCTTGCCCTCAATCTATCCCAGCATCAGGGTCTTTTCTAAGGAGTCATCTCTTTGCATCAGGTAGCCAAAGTATTGGAACTTCAGATTCACCATCAGTCCTTCCAATGAATATTCAGGGTTGATTTCCTTTAGGTTGGATCTCCCTGCTGTCCAAGGGACTCTCAGGAGCCTTCTCCAGCACCACAGTTCGAAAGCATCAATTCTTTGGTGCTCAGCTTTCTTTATGGTCCAACTCTGACATCCATACATGACTAACGGAAAAACCATGGTTTTGACTACACAGACCTTTGTCAGCAAAGTATGTCTCTGCTTTGCAACACACTATCTAGGTTTGTCATAGCTTTTCTTCCAAGGAGCAAGCATCTTTTAATTTCATGGCTGTAGCCAGCGTCCACAGTGATTTTAGTTAATCTTAATTAAAGTCTGTGTCAATCATACTAGATAAAATGATTATTGTTTTTAAAACTGCCACAGAAATTTACATTTCCAAGAATGTCTCTCAAGTAACTCTGCAAAAAAGAAAACAACTGGGGAAAAAACCCTACCTACATACATATATACAGTCTTACACAAGAATACCCTGAGGTACTTAAAGATCTAGCAAAGTAAACCTGTATTCATCAAATACGAAGTTCAGGATTATCTTATGACTCAACAAGAAGGAACCAGTCAACTGCTAAGTCTCGCTATACTGTCAGAAAATTATAAAGGATATAATGTACCCTTTGGAGACTGGCTAACAATACTTCATTAGCCAGTTTCCAAGCCTTTAAAAATGTTAATCAAAATATGTTTACTCCCCATTTCTCTATAGATATTAGATCATTTGGTAAAGAGAAGGATAAACAGCTACTTAATGAGTGTCTGCCCAATACACCATCTCCAAGAAAAAGGTATTACTTTGGAATACCCAATCACCTAATAATATCTCATAAGCATAATATAGCCAATGTTCCCAAAGTAGTTGCTATTCCTATAAGTGAACTTTCCCTTCATAATTCTGCTCCAGGCACTCAGAAGGCTGATTTAAGCAGGCATCTTTCTCCCTGGAGAATATGCTCCTCAGTTCTTGACCGTTTTTTAAAAAAAGTGACTCTATGAATCTTGGTAAGGCACTTGACTAGTCTAGATACCATGCCTCACTTTTCTTGGGGAGATTTTAAAACAAGAGAGGAGGTGCTTTTTTCTCTCTCTCTTAAAAAATGAAGTAGGGAAATTTGGTTGTAAGCCTGCAACGAGTAGCGCCTTTCCGCCAGGTCACTCATGGCCCAGACCAACTTCTGCACGCGTAAGAGTTAAATTGCTGCAACGAGTAGCGCCTTTCCGTCGGGTCACTCATGGCCCAGGCCACCTTCTGCACGCCTAAGAGTTAAATCGCTGCAACGAGTAGCGCCTTTCCGTCGGGTCACTCATGGCCCAGGCCAGCTCCTGCATGCGTAAGAGTTAAACCGCTGCAACGAGTAGCGCCTTTCCGCCGGGTCACTCATGGCCCAGGCCAGCTCCTGCATGCGTAAGAGTTAAACCGCTGCAAATACAAAGGTCTCCCTGTGCGACTTCTTTATAGAACAAAGCCTTTGCAACGCCCCCTTTCATGGTCTCCCTCTGTTAAAGACTGCTGAATGCTTTTTGAAGCAAAGGTCAATGATACAAATGCAATGAAATTTTGAAAAAAGGAAAAGCAAAAAAAAAAAAAAAAGCCTGTTAATAGATCATTTATGCTTATCCACAGATTTAAAATGAAGGAAGCAGACTCACATCTTCATATCTGGAGAATAAGGGCACAGAACTGGATTTTGAAAAGTTAGAAATCTACACTACTGACATCAACTAACCAAGAATTTAAGATGGAACTTCCTCATCTGGCATCACTTTTTATAGACAGGAGTTACTTGCTAGTAAAGAACTAATTGGGGTTTCTCAAGCGGTGCTAGTGGCAAAGAACCCGCGGACCAAAGCAGGAGACATAAGAGACATGGGTTTGATCCCTGGGTCGGGAAGATCCCCTGGAGGAGGAAATGGCAACCCAATCCAGTCTTCTTGTCCGGAGAATTCCATGGACAGAGGC